TATCTTCTTCATCATCACTGCTAGAAGTTGTAACAAAGGTTGCAGGTTGTAAAACATCAGCTGGTGCAAATTGGTCATCTGTAAATACATGTCTATTCACTGGCCAAATTCTGGAAGCATGGAAGACACTCTCTGCAATTCCCACAGTGACCGCTCTGCCATATACCTCATTAAGTAATTTTGACATTTGCGTTTGATATATTTTATCCCCTTTATATAAGCGAAGAAACGTTTCCTGAGCTTGTGTAAAATAAGTCTGCAAAGGACCAAAAAATGCTATATCCAAAGGCTGTAAACGGTCGGTGGTATGGCCAGGCAGTTGAAGTAAGACGATTCCATTTTTTCTAGCAAACTCACAAGCTTGCAAATTTGTGCTGTGTGTTGTATGGCCATCAAGCAGTAGGAGAACTTTATTATCTACATTGCAGTTGATATGCTTTTGGAAATGCATCAGCCACTCAACAAAGAGATCTGAGTTAATGTATCCTGTGTCCGAAATCGTAACAATACTGGCGGGAGATGCTCCAATTTTAAGGTTAGGGTGAAATTTTTTCCTCTTAAAAATTATCATTGGTGGAATATATACACCAGCAGCACTAACTGCACATACCATAGTTGTATTGACGCCACGTTCACCACTTGTAAGACTTCCTACCTGGTGCTTCCCTTTACGAGCATCTATTTTTGGGAGACTTTTTTGTACAGTGGTAAAACCAGATTCGTCCACGTTAAATATAGTGTCGGCTGTAAATTTATGCTTATCGACAATTCGTTCTAAAAGATCGAAAAAATGATTGACATTTTCTTTATTAAAGCCTCTGGTTATCGCCATTGAGGTTCCTTCGGGTTTCCGGAGCGAAAGATGGGGATTTCGTTTCAAAAATGAGTAAAACCATTTTTTACCAGCAATGTTTTTATCTGTATTGAAACAATGTGGTAAGGCATATTTTTCTGCAACATCAAAAGCTAGTTTTCTGACATTCTTAATTGTTAAACCAAAATAGCAGTCTTCAAGGTGAAGGATATGCTCAGAAATAATTCTTTCTATATCTGTAGAAAATACCGACGGTCTACCAAATGCTTTAACATTATTGCGGAGTTTTTTTTATCAGCATGTCTCTTGATAGTTGCCTTTGGAACTCCATACACACGACTGCATTCATTCAAACCGTAATCACCATTTTTGTACGCGGCAACAGCATACAATAAATCATTTTCAGACCACAATCCATAGCGTCCTCTTTTTGACATTGTAACACTGAAAATATTTTTTTTTATATAGAAAATTATATATATATTTATTTATATAAAATATAATAATGAAAGTTGAATTAATTTAGTAAACGTACAGCGATTTGATACACAAAAACTTCTACGTAATTATTTGCAATTCGCACGACACAATCGACATTTCAACACTACCCTTTGTTCGCACGGAAAAAACCCACGAGCCCTCTTCTCCTCTCCCACTATACTCCCCCAAAAACATCAACGCATCGATGCATTGTCTGCATTTTATAATTTTATATTACGCATCATAACATTACGATACTACACTTATTTATTTTTTCTATAAAAGAAATGTAGTTGTCGAAATTGGACCAGTTCAATTTCGGCAACTGTTTTCGGTCCAACTAGGGCAACTTGAATATTTTATACTTAATATTATACAAAAACGTCAGACTAACATAATCTCATAAAATTGTAGCAGGAAATTATAGATAGATAAGTAAGCTTTATGATGATATAATAAGACCTGTCGTTTGGACGAATTAACGGCTTTCACACTTACATCAAAATAACAAACTTTCTTCGTAGTCAAACAAATAACACTTCTCTCAATGTAACGATGACACGTTTCTTCACAAACACGATTGCATTAACTTCGTCCACATCTACGTATAACAAGTTGCCTATCTAAAATCGCACAGATTTTATCAATCTTTGGATATCACAGCGGTCCAAATTAGGCTATCTTCCCCTATCACTATCTTCTGATACAGTATCATTTTCTAAGTTACCACAATTTGATTCACAATAACTCAGACAATCAGATAAAGCATCTGCGTATAATTCATTGAAAGATTCTTCATTGTTACGTTCCGTCATCGTTTTTTTTAAAAGTTTTTTTAATTGTAAAATTTTTTTACAACAAAGGACGCAACTTGGGGTTCTATAAGCGAGAGACACAGTTTCAATTATGCTGACCAACAATTGTTCGAGTTTATTCGTGGCCGGTTAGCAACGTTTGGCCATAAAAACACGAGTTAACTCGTGACCGATCAACATTGTGTTAAGAAATAGACTGTACACCATCTCATGTTATCATCTATAAACGTTACAAAAAATCTAGCACCTCCATTCGAGACAGTTCTTATTGGACTGTCCACATCTGAATGTATTATTTTTAACTTCTCATTACACGGTGTATTTCCCATTGGAAAGGGGGTATTCTTCATTTTTCCTTCCATACAGACCTCACATATGGTTAACTTTTTTGCTTCCTTTATTGCGTTAACATTTTGTCCAGTTCTCTCCATTATCTTTGCCAAATCTCGGCCGTTCAGATGTCCCAATCACCTATGCCACTTGCAAGCATCAGAGCATTTCTCCGTATCGGCTACCTTTGCGCATTCGACCTTCTTTCGAACGTAGTACAGATCACCTTCTCTATTTGCTATCAGACTGATGTTCCCTTTACGATCTGTTACAACAGCTGACTCATTCTTGAAAGTTACTTTATAACCCTTTTCGGTGATCTTTGATACTGAGATTAGATTTACTCTTAAATCCGGGACATATAACGTATCATTAAGTTCTACCGACCTGACTATCTTTGTCCTGCGTTGCAATTTTTACAAGTCCTCTTCCGTGTATCGCAGTAGGCGCCGAGTTTGCCAAAGTAAGCTTTCCATTTTCAGACATATTCACATGGCTAAATTGTTTTATGTCTCCACAGAGATGTGAGGTACAACCACTGTCCAATATTCATACTCAAGGCCCGCACATTTTCGAACGCTCCAAAAACATGCTTGGCAAGTAATAGGAAGCGGATACGCACATTTCTAATTTGCATTTGGTATTATATTCACATAAATTATTCTTATACATATACAGTGATGAGCAGAACTGAACACACTTTATAAATTTTTTAAATTATTTAATATATTTCCAAATGTTAATAATAGAATATAAATTTTTAAATAGAATGTGAAAACTGATTGTATGAGTAGTATTTTAAGGTCACTTAAAAGTCTTTTATGTTTTTTATATGATCTATTAACACAGATAACGTTGGACTCAGTTTTGCACCGGATATTTATTAAAAACTTAATATTTTGTCCAGAGACCTTTTGCCTTTAATACTGCATGTATCCTTTGTGGCATACTTTGCACTAATCTTTCACAATAGTCCGGACTGATTTTGTCCCATTCTTCCTGAACTCTAGTCCAAAGATTGTCTATTGATGTTGGCATCGTGTGATATTCGCAATGTAATTTTTTTTTTAAATAAGCCCATAAATTTTCTATCGGATTTAAATCCGGACTTTGTGCAGGTTTTAAATCTAACAATTTAAAACTTTTATTATTCAGTCAGTTTTGCACTGATTTCGCCATGTGTTTGGGATCCCGATCCTGCTGGAATGTTACTTCATCTTCCGGATATGGCATGTTTTCTATCATTTCCGGTAAATGAGATTGTAAAATAGTCATGTAACTATACTGGTTCATATTACCAACTATTCGGTGGATTACACCTGTTCCATAAAATGTAATACACCCCCATATCATAATAGAACCACCACCGTGTTTCAAAGTTTCCTTAACATGGTGTCGTTTAAGGCTTTCACCTTTCCTCTTCCAATACCATGCTCTGCCATCTGATGATATTCGATTAATTTTTGTTTCGTCGGACCATATTACATGTCTCCATTGATCAATAGTCCAATCCTTGTATTTCTTCGCAAATGCTAAACGCGCTTTTACATTCTTCTTAGATAGCATAGGTTTCGACTTCTTTTCATCACATATATAATTCTGTTCTTTTAATTCTCTCATTGCTGTCCATTTACTAATTGACTTCCCTGTGCTTTCTTTTAATATATTTGCGGCCATAGAAGCACTTGAAGCTTCACCAGTTTGAATGTATCTGGCTAACAATCTTCTTTCTTGCGGAGTTAATAATTTTGGTCGCCCTCCAAATGATGTTGGTCTATTAGAACAATATTTTTTTCTAATTTTTTGCACTAAAGACTGACTTACGTTACATTCTTTCGCAATTGTTCGTGTGGAAGAGCCAGACTTCAATTTAAAAATTATTTCATTTTTGATTCTCTTCGATATTGGTTTCATGTTAACAGATCAAAATGCACGTTATAAATCACGTAACTAATACTTTTTTAAGCTAATATGTGTATTAACAAATATTAAATACAGTACTGAACAATATGTTCTTCGATAATCAAAGCTTATAACTTGTTAGATGCTCGTAAGCGACTGAGTTTGGAATCGGTGCAAAACTGAGTACAACCAATTTGTCCTTTTCGAAGAAATAAGAAATCAAAACAAACATTTCAACGTCTTAAGAGATACCGTATAATGTTGACTTTTATATGCCACCTCATTAACCGTAATAAAAAAGTGTGTATCAAAGTAAATATAAGTAGTTTTGGAAAATGTATAAAGTGTGTTCAGTTTTGCTCATCATTCATCACTGTTATATATATATATATATATATATATATATATATAGTATATTTATTTATTGTATAAGATTTTTTGCAATTTAACTATAATATTATTTATTTCACAAATTTGAATAATGCTTTAGAGTGTGATATCTTGTAAAGCATACGCCTTTGCGCAATGCTGTTTGGCATAATTTGCAGCAGTATCTTGTTTCGCTCCTTTTTCCATTGGACGAACAAACTTTACATTGTTTGGTTGGGAACTTCTTCTTGCCTTTATTCGTTATTGGTTCCAGTATATGCTGTTTAATATTACCAGAGTCTACATGGTGGGTCGACACGTAGGTGATTTGTTGTATTTAAAGTACTTTGTTCTACATCCATAAATGTATCCGTTGATTTTTCTTCTGTCGTCCACAATTTCATCACGGCAAGTAGAAAATCTTTATATTTCATTTTTTCATTATTACACGAATTATAAATCTTGAATGCATTGAACAGGCCGCAGTTGACTAGATATAATACTACCTTTTTAGGCCATTTAATTGTTTTTCTCAATGTTGAGTAATATGATAGATATTGATATGCAAGATCGACACCGTTCATGTTTAAATTATAATCTACTATGCATTTCGGTTTTTGTATAGTTTTATATTTTCCAGTGCATTCAGCCATTTCAAATCTATGAATTGTTGAAATCATTCGAACCTCTCTCTTATCTTTCCAAATTTGCAACAAAATATCACCTTTCCGTTTGAAAATACTCTCCCCTTTTTTTAGTTTTAACGATTTTGTTTTTAAACATTTTGGCAATCTATTGGCGCGTATTGTGCCACATATTCGTATTTTATTTTGTAATAAAAATTCGGTAATGTTCAAAGTATTATAATAATTATCCATATAAAGATAGTGCCAATATCCGAAATACGGTGTAAGAATCGTTGTTACTGTGTCTTGCAGTTTTTTACCTTGTCCACAATAAATTTCTATATTACATATATATCCCGCCTGACTCTCCGATAATACTCGTACAAGTATTCCATATTTAGTAAGTTTACGTGGATTGTACGTTTTAAATTTTAATTTTCCACGCCAAGGGATCATGGCTTCATCTAGCGACAGGTTCTGATGAGAAGTATAAACGGTTTTAAATTTTTCTATTAGGTGTTTGTAAACAGGTTCTATTTTGTAGAGTCTATCACTATTTTCATTCATTTTCGTGTTATCGTTAAAGTGTAAATACCTCGTAACCTGTTCAAATCTGTTCCTACTCATTAATTTTGAAAAAATAGGTGTTGCCAAATATGGATCCACGGACCAGTATTCTTTTATGTTTTCCTTTCGTATTTGTCCCATCAAAATAAATATTCCGAACAAATTTTTTATTTCGGAAAATGAGACATTCCTCCATTTTCTTTGTTTAGAAATAGCCTTATATTTATGTACATTTTGTAAGTAATAACGATTTGTTTCTTCAAAAATAATTTGAAAAAATTCATTGCCAAATACTCGTATACAATCAACAGCTTCCTTCACGCTGAAATTTCTTTGTAATGATGTTGTACCACAAATTCCTTCAAAAGGTTCCAGATTTGGAAAAGTATTCTCATTTGTCCATTCTTCAATTATAGGTTCATCAGCCTCCACCTCCGAATCTTCACTTTCGCTTGAAATATTATATTTTTTATTCAGATTTCTTCTATGCTTAATCACATCACTTAATTCAAGAATATTGTTGCTATCACTGAATTCATTTTCGTCGCAAGTGTTGTTTGGTGCATCTGATAAATCATCATATACCAATTCATTTTGAGTTTCGTTTTCATTACATCTATGTGTCATTTCGCTGCTTATACAGGGTGTCCGCGCCAAAGTGTTACACCTTAATATCTCATGAACTATTGATGTCACGAAAAAGTGCTTATATGGAAATTGCAGGGTAAAAGAGGCCCTATGTTTTGGCAGAAGCAAAATTTTTTTATTGTTATTAATGTAAAAGATATGATGGTGAAGTTTCGTTTTTTTAAATGGAACTATAATTTTTTCTCGATCAAGTGATAGTGCTTTTCAAGACGAATTCATCAAGGTTTTATGTACTTACCCGATTTTTATTAGTTTTCGAGATATAACGCTTAGAAATTTACTGATTTTCAGCAGTGACATCTCGGTTTGACGAGTAAGTCATAAAAACGTTCTTATTGTTACGGTAAGTGCCGCTGGTTTGACTCTGCCTGCCGAAACAGATAGGCGGGGTGTATGGTCAAAATGGCAGGTCCGAAGAGTAAGAAACGTGAAAAGTATTGTCCATTACGGTTTAAGTTTTCCGTATCGAAGATGATATTAATTGTAATTTGGAAGTTTGGGACATTTATTTAAATGTTTCAGTACAAGGTAGGTATAAAGACAATTTAACAATATAACTGACTTGAAAAATAGAATACACAATGCATGCGTAAATATCCCGTGCGAAATTATGGAAAACGTCGAGAACGAATTTGTAAAACGTATACAAACTTGTATTTCAAATAGCGGAAAGCACGTGGAATAAATTTTTTGCATATTATTTTTTGTTAAATTGTCTTTATACCTACCTTGTACTGAAACATTTAAATAAATGTCCCAACCTTCCAAATTACAATTAATATCATCTTCGATACGGAAAACTTAAATCGTAATGGACAATAGTTTTCACGTTCCTTACTCTTCGGACCTGCCATTTTGACCATACACCCCGCCTATCTGTTTCGGCAGGCAGAGTCAAACCAGCGGCACTTACCGTAACAATAAGAACGTTTTTATGACTTACTCGTCAAACCGAGATGTCACTGCTGAAAATCAGTAAATTTCTAAGCGTCATATCTCGAAAACTAATAAAAATCGGGTAAGTACATAAAACCTTGATGAATTCGTCTTGAAAAGCACTATCACTTGATCGAGAAAAAATTATAGTTCCATTTAAAAAAACGAAACTTCACCATCATATCTTTTACATTAATAACAATAAAAAAATTTTGCTTCTGCCAAAACATAGGGCCTCTTTTACCCTGCAATTTCCATATAAGCACTTTTTCGTGACATCAATAGTTCATGAGATATTAAGGTGTAACACTTTGGCGCGGACACCCTGTATAGGGCCCATTTCATAAAATCAATTTTTGTTATAAATTATCAGTAACAAATTGAAAATATAGATGATTCTTAAAAAACTGTTACCTTCCAAATTTAAAACACGAAGTTTGAAATTCCAAAATGTACAGTAATAAAACACTTTATGAGATAGTAAGATACGTACGATGATCGGCACAGATCTACTGATGCACTGGTTATAACGACTGATTATTTCTACATGCTCGGAATGTTACAATCCAGTTGTTTCGCTAAATTTTTTTTAGGAATGCGAGAGGCTTCGTTACCATGGTAACGTAACAAAAATATTTGCAGCCGGTTGCTTAAGTTGCCGATTGAATAAAAAATAAGATGAAAATGAGATATTTCGTGGCCCGGCCGCAACGTTCGATTTGCTAAAAACGAGATATCTCGTGATCCGTATGCAATGTGTTAATTTCATTTTTCCGGGCCAATCGTCTGCCTTGTTCGTCTGCTCCTGACTTTTGTCTAATCTGACCTTGCAGTCCGATGCCTTGTGGCCTACTTTATGACATCTGTAACATTTAAAGGAAAATTTACCTACTCTTGGTTTCCTTTTATCAATTTTGTCAGATCTTCTCATATTGGACATCCATTTTGCATGATTTGCCGCTATACTCCCTGAATATTCGACTTATTCGTCTGCGCACGCGCATCGCTCTCCTCGATAATTTTGACCTTGATAGTCTCTGGACTTGGAAGCTCCATCTTTCGATTCTATCACGCATCTGAAATTCTCAAAGTACGCAGGCAAGCTATACAGTAACATAATGGCAAGTAAATCTAGATTTATATTGACATTCATCGCTTCCAATTTGTCTACTACAGTATTGCCTCGAAACAAGCAACAGTTTCGAGCCTCGAAATTAGCAA